CTTATTTTAAGCCAGTCTTAATTTCAGTGCACATGCATTATTTCCAGTTGAAGTGTTCTGTTTTTACAGTCTCAGGAGATATATTTTCGCTGTTTTTACAGTCTTTTGACACACAATTCGAATAAGGTGATGGTTCTGTGAAGTGCAATCTTAATGAGTTAAATGGTGACCTACTGGATGGTGAGTGTTCATCCCAACAGTATCATCCCAGTAGGTACAAAGGGTTATTCTACAAATCTATGCTCTTCCTTCTTGAGTAAGTGCTGTTCTATGGCAATCTTTGTAAAGCAGAGAACGAACAGCAGGGTACTCAGCAGGAGCCATAAAGAGCCTGTAAGATGTCACAAACTCTTAACATTTTCCCTTTCCTGACCCTTATCTTGCCATCTTGACTGCAGAAGAGTCAAGAGTTGTTTGCTTTGAGATGGGCTTATTCCTCCTCCGAAACTCCTGAGCTTAATGAGATCTCTTAAAATGCTCTAGGACTCTACACAAGCTTAGGAGGGTTCTTAAATAACACCTGTGGAACAAAAAAAGATACTGTGCAGATGCTTAACTAGGCAGATAAGTTAAGCTGTCATAGAAAGTGCTAGCCTTCTGCAGAAGGCTAGCTAAAAGCTTCTTGGAGGAGGATATCCACATGCCTCATTTCAGGGCTCTTTGCTTGTGGGCTTAATGTCTGTGAGCTGTGCAGGCTGTGTACTCCCCCCACATTTGCTCATTAGCAGCAAAGCTTCTCAGGTTGAAAAACAAGAGAATAGCTGCATAAATCGGGAAGTGGTACAACCTGGTGATAAGCCTGTAACCATTATTGTGCTTTTATATCAGTTCTTGTTAAGTAAGTGTGGTTTTTTGCTTTTGACTGTCGTATATATTAAAATACCCAAGTGTTTAGGTAATTATGAACAACTTTAATATTTGCAATTTAAAAAAAATATTGAGAGGTGTATGATATTAAAGCATTTATTTCAAAATGCCTAGTTAATCATATGACCTTTGGTTTTAAAAAATAATTATCCAAAGCTTATTTCATATGAGCTCGCTTGTCTTTACCCCTTTTGGATGATTTGTATGTACTTTCATGTTTCCATTATAAAATTGCTGGAGGGATACTGCTAGCAATGATTTATGTGTCTGGTGCACATTGATATTTTCGGTCGTCCTTTTAAAATAGATGGAGAAGTTTAAGCTGAATCTTATAAATCAGTGTTTGGTACATGAAGTAGGATTTTAGATAGGAGATTGTGGAAAAATGAGCTGAGCCTTCTTTTTCATAATCATCATCATTAAACTTGGCCATGTTAGAATGGTCTTGCATGCATTAGAAAAAAAAAGCTCAGGTGTGTAGTTCAGTCTTTATAAAATGGGTTGCTAAAATGGTTGGTCAAGGCATTTGAGATTTAAAACATCTTGCTGTAAATGTCCAAGTGGAGACCATTAACTGTGGTGTTCTTAAAGGGCTGTTGAACATCTTTGTTGGTGACATGGACAGTGGGATTGAGTCTGCTGCCTCAGCAAGTTTGCCGACAACACCAAGCTGTGTGGTGCTGTCAACACACTGGAGGGAAGGGATTCCATCTAGAGAGACCCTGACGTGCTTGAAAGGTGGGCCAGTGCCAACATCATGAAGTTCAACAAGGCCAAGTGCAAGGTCCTGCAGCTGGGTTGGGGCAATCCCAGGTGCAAATACAGGCTGGGCAGAGAACAGATTGAGAGTAACCCTGAGGAGAAGGACTTGGTGGTGTTGCTCAATGAAAAGCTCAACATGAGCCGGCAGTGTGCGCTCACAGCCCAGAAAGCCAAGCATATCCTGGGCTGCATCAAAAGGAACGTGACCAGCAGGTTGAGGGAGGGGATTCTCCCCTTCTACCCTGCTCTTATGAAACCCTACCTGCAGTACTGCATTCAGCTCTGGGGACCCCAGCACAGGAGGGACATGGACCTGCTCGAGCAAGTCCAGAGGAGGCCATGAAGATGAGAAGATGATGCTGGAGCAACTGTCCTATGGAGACAGGCTGAGAGAGTTGGGGTTGTTCAGCCTGGAGAAGAGAAAGCTCAAGGGATACTTTATCACAGTCTTCCAGTACCTAAAGGGGCCTACAAGGAATCTGGAGAGGGACTTTTTACAAGGACATGTAGTGACAGGACAAGGGGAGAATGGCTTTAAGCTGACAGAAGGGAAATTTAGATTAGGCCTTAGGAGAAAATTCTTCACTGAAGCAGTTTGCCCAGGGAAGTTGTGAGTGCTCCGTCCCTGGAAGTGTTCAAGGCCAGATTGGATGGGGCTTTGAGCAACCTGGTCTAGTGGAAGGTGTCCCTACCCATGGTAGGGGGGTTGGAACTGGATGATCTTTAAGGTCCCTTTCAACCCTAACCATTCTGTGATTCTATGAAATCCGAACATGAGTAGAAAGCCTACTCTCGGTTGCCAGATGTCACTTCCAGTTCCTCAGCTGTCAAGGGGTATATTAATCCCTCAAATCCAGCAAGTCCAAGCTGGTCAGCATCAACCTGCAGCGACTGATGCCACAGGTCTAAAATATTGCCTTGATTTGGGGGTTACCTCTTCTCCTGAGGAAAGATGAAGGTGCTAGTTGTTCTCTGTTGCCAGGAGTAATGAAGTGCAGCTCAGGACAGTTGTATACAAAATTTTTTAGTCCTTTAGGTGCTCTAATTTTCGAGTGCTTGTGCATTGAACAGGTTATCTCAAGTACTATGAGATAAGTACTTACAGTCTGTGAGCAATAGTCTGTGAGCTGCCGCTTGCCTGATGGGGCTGGGAGAGGAGCTGGGGATTATCAAGGCAGGTGGAAACCTATTTCTGCTTCATTTGCTACCCATGTGAAGAGCGATCATGTAAGAGGAGTACCAAGAGAGATTTTGATTAGTTTAGATTCAGAAACAATGTGAGTTTCAGGCAGATCAAAAAAAAAAGTATTTAGAAAATAAATGAACTGATTTCATTTATTGGGGGGGGGGGGGGTGTTTTTGTTTTGGGATTTTTTGTTTGTTTATTTTTGCATTGATGTTTTGGGTTTTTTTGTTTTATTTGTTTTTTGGGAGAGGGGGATGTTTTGGGGGTATTTTTTTTTTTTTTTTTTGGTAATGCCAGAAAATACACAGGAAGTAATCCAGCAATTAGTCATTAATACTCCTACTCGTAAAATATCAAAATCTGATCAGTCTGTTAACAGGAAAAAACAGTGTTTGTGATGATTTATAGATTTATAGATTGTATGGTCATATCAGTTCCTCTCTCTTAGGACGTAAAAAGTTGTTAATGGCACAACCATGTGGAATGAGCTGTTGATTTCAGACTGGTATTTGGAATAAAACTTGCTTTACTGCAGTCAGTGCTGTTGATCATGACTGAAGTTCACAGCCAGGCATTTTTTTTTCAGTCCTGATACAATTGTGACCTCTAGTGGAAAAAAACAGTTTGTTATGATGATTATGCATCAAATTGCAAAGTAATTCATGGAGTGTTGTAATATTCATTATGTTGAATGTCATAGCATTTCCAAGACTCATTAATGGTAAATTCCCTTCAAGGCACAGTATTATGTACATAAAAAAAATACCAGTTCTTCCTGAAAATGCCTCTGAAAACTCTCTGCAGATTTATATAAAAGCTAATATTACAGAAGTATGGTCTCATGCTTTCAGGAAAAGGCTTGGAAAAATACTCCATTGCAGAACCAGAAATTCCTTGGAGGTCATTGCCTTATAAAGAGTGCTGTTGTTATCCCACAGCAATATTTATTGTAGTGACTTGAGTGCAAATCTGTTGAGGCGGTTTTAGATATCAACTCTGAAAGACATTATAAGATAAGATTCATCATAACATTAAACAAGCAGGCAAGAAGATTCATAAAATATAATCTAGGGAAACAGTCTGAACACAAAGTACATAGTTCTTACATGCTGTCCACACATACATACAGCAAGTAAGAATTGCATATGGTATTTTTCATATTTGGATGAACAAAAAGATATTTCTAATCTTAAATAATCAAGAGATGTAGGCTGTAGACAGGAAAGTCTCTTCCATCAGCAGAGGCAATGTGTGTACTGTCAGGAAGGCTGTCATGTTGTGTCCTCTGGCTGAGCTGACCCTGGCTGGTTTTTCAAGCAGGACCCTAAGAGTAGTTTCAGTTAGGCTGCTCCAAAGGAGGAGCCGCCATTGGGATATGTGTTCACCTTCACCCTGCAAAAATCTCAAGGTCTTTATTGTCAAAATGAAAAGATGTTGAACAAAAGGAGAGGATGGGTATTTCTTTTTATTTTATATGATGTAAGTGAAGATGTAGCCTTTTTCACCCCTCTGTAGTCAGTGGAGTGCATTTTACTTTCTTTGATTTTTAAATGATTGGACATTGTCGTATTTTCCAGTGAATAGATTTCTGCACACCTGTATTTCCAGGTTTTGCAAACCAGAAAGCAACTACGTGATACAGGCATCAGTTTGCTTACCTTTGAAATAGTTTTGACTTTTCGCTAATAGCAGCAAAAAAGTGTATTTTGTACTTGTGGAGTCTTTTTTTTTCCCTTTTTTTCTATTTTGTTGTGGGTTTTTTTTTCAGTTTGAGCTTGAAAGATTGTACATGATTAGTTATAGCTAAGTTACTTGGCAAAATCTGATCAATTAGAATATTTATTGCATTTTCTTGATGACCTGCTTGTTACAATATTCTTCACTGTTCATGAAAATCAACACTGACATGGACTGAAATGATGGAGGGATATCCTCTCACATTCATAGCACCTAACTAATTGAACAGTGAGATTCCAAAAGCACCAAAGAGCTGTCATCTACCCCAGCGGGAGTTTAGAAACTGTGCCTTGGGGCTTTAATGATGAACTTTGAAGTGTAGCAGGGGAAAGGGAATCATTCCCGAAAGATCTGCAGCATCTAGTTGTGATGCCACATGATGATTAGTAATAGGGAAGAGACATTTGTACACTGGGACTGATTGAAGTACTTTTCTTCTTATTTTTAGGGTATGAACATAATCTTCCACGTAGCCTTGGCTCTCTTAAAGGTAAGTCATTGATTAGAAGGGTTATTTATTTATTTTATTAAACTGTATGGAAAATTTTCTTACCTTAAAGTGTCATGTCTAAGGAAACAATAATCATGGGACTTCTGGAGGAGGGAACAGAGGAGAAATACCCATTTCGGTAGAGATGTCTTCAAAATTGTTCTTATGGTAGATCTGTTTTTTTAAACTTAATCATGTCATAAAGTTCCTGGAACAAGGAATGCAGTCTGAAGATTTAAATGTTTCACGTAATTATTATTTAGAGAACAATTTTGTTTATTTTGTGGCTGGGTTCTTGCATATAAATCTTCAAGAAATGTAATTGAGTATTCTTTGGTATCAAATGTATTTGTAATTTCAAAAGAGGAATGGAAGTATTTTATAATATGGAGAAATTATGTCTTTGTCTTGGGCACAGAATTTACCAAAACAAACCCGTAAACCTGTAAGTTGGCCCTTTTGATGCCAGTGAGATAGCTGAAAGTTAACTTAGTTAACCTTTACAAGCTGGTTCTAGTTCAAATCCAGTCTGCATACAGGCTCATGGTATGGCATTTGAAATGCCACATTGAATTCAAATGATATTCCCATAGGCTAAAGCTCAGAGTAGAACAGCTTGTCACTCCTAACACAATAACTCCATAACATGGATATGGACTAATATCATTTTGCTGTTGCTAGTCGTTCAGTGCCTTCCTTATCACAGAATACCAGTTTGGAAAGGGAACCTCAAGGATCATCTAGTCTAACCTTTCTTGGGGAAAAAAGCGCAGACCCTGTCTGGCTGAATTGTAAAAACATCCAGTGTTTTGAAGGCCACCACTTGCTTGGGGAGATTATTCAATTGACTGATTGTTCTTGTTGTGAAAAAATTTCCTCTTGTGTTCAATCAAAATCTCACCAGGATTAGCTTGTACCCATTACTCCTTGTCTTTTCCATGTGACCCCATGTAAAAAAGGAGTCTCCATCATCTTTGTAGCCACAGTTTAAATGCTAGAATATGGTGATAAGGTCTCCCTGAGCCTTCTTTATTCAAGGCTAAACAAAGCCAGTTCTCTCAGCCTTTCTTCATACAGCAGCCTTCCCGGTCCTTTTATCATCTTTGTGGCTGTTCTCTGGACCCTCTCCAGCCTGTCCAAAATTTTTGCATAATGGGGATCAAAAGCGAACACAGTATTCCAGGTATGGCCTGACCAGTGTTGAGTAGAGTGGGATAATGACATATTCATCTCTGCTGATGATGCCCTCGTTGGTACAACCCAGCATCCTGTTGGCTTTCTTTGTGTCAGCAGCACACTGTTCACTCATATTCAGCTTGCTGTACACCAGGACCCCCACGTCCCTTCCTATGGTGCTGCTCCCCACCCAAGTAGATTCCAGCCTGTGCTGCACCCTTGGATTATGTTTTCCCAGGTGCAAGACCTTACAGTTGTCCTTGAACTTCATAAGGTTCTTGTTAGCCCACTCTTCCAGCCTATCCAGGTCATCCTGCAGAGTAGCTCTCCCTTCTGAAGTGTCCACAGTTTGGGGTTTGTTATCATCAGCAAGCTCATCAGGGTGCACTAGATTCCATCATCCAGATCACACTGAACATCATTTGGCCCACTGTTCATCCCTGGGAGACCCCACTTGTGACAGATCACCAGTTTAAAACGGAACTATTCACAACCAACCTCTGCGTGTGGCCGATCAGCCAGTTTCCCACCCACTGCATGGACCACTTGCCTAGACCGTAATGTGCCAGTTCCTCTAGGAAGAGGCTGTGGGGAATTTTATCAAAAGCCTTGGAGAAATCCAGGTAGACAGTGCCCACCTTTTGCCCCACTTCAACCCAGCAGGTTAGTTTGTCATAGAAGGTTTGTCAAGCACAGTCTGTTCTTGGTGAATCCTTGCTGGCTTTTTCCAATCATGTGCTTCATTTGACTTGCAATAGCACCCAGGAGGGTTCATTCTATAGCTTTCTAGGGGTACGAAATAAGAATGATGGGCCTGTAATTTTCTGGATACTCCTTTAAGCCCTTCTTATAGATGTGATCACCCTTTATTATAGGGGCGATGTTAGCCGCCTTCTAGTCTTCTGGGACATTCCGTCATCTCCACACTTCTCAGAGATTATGGAAAGCGGCTTCACAGTGACACCAGCCAACTCTCTTAACACCCTCAGGTGGATAATGACAGGGCCCATAGATCTGTAAGGGTCAAGTTCTTGTAATAGTGCATATAGCAACTCTTCCTTCACTGATGGTGGGTCTGTGTTTGTGTGAGCCTGGATTCTTGTTCCCAAGGCCTGGGGCTTAACAGTGCTGGTATGGACAGAGGTGAAGAAAGTGTTGAGAACCTCTGCATTTCAGCACTGTTGGTGACTAATTCACCTCCCCTGCTTAAGAGCCAGCTGGTATTTTCCTTCTACTTCTGCTTGTTTAAATACCTGAAGAAATCTTTCTTGTATATTTTGACATCTCTGGCCAATTTCAGTTGGAGGTGTATGTTTGCCTTTCTAAAATGCTCAACACCAGGAAGGTGTATATGCTGCTGCTCTGAGCAGAGCAATTGGAAATTTCCAAACACACATTTTCACTTGAGGTAGGGTAACTTCGGTGTAGTACTGCAGTGTAGGTAAGAGATAGTTTGTAGCTTTACAGTAAGAAAAAGTCCAAAATAAATTGTGTTTTACACTATCATAGTTAATCTGTTAAATGGTGGTGTGACTTTCTACATGAGTATATGTATTAAATGAAATTGCCTGTAAACAGGGTATTTGTTTAATGTACATTTCCAAGGAAGTGCTCCTACACAAATCTAAATTTGTAAAAAGGGGGGGAGAGAAGTGTGTGCTCTGTTCTTCCTGTTTTGTATTTTATTTGCAGCTATGGAGGCTTGTTAATTTTATTCTTTTTGAGTTTTTTTTTCGTTTTTTTTTCTTTTTTTCAAGTCCAGTGTAGATAAAGGGAAATCTAGTAGGCTATGGTATGATAGATAATAAAGAAGTGAAAGCAAGCATACAAGCGTCACCCAACAAGTGTATTGCCATAGTAGAAGGAATAGGTTCTGGAAAGAGGTAGAGATACCAGTTTATGGATCTTAAAAATGAAGAAGACAGAGAAGGAGGCATACTTGCACTGAGCTGAAAATAACTGGCAAGGTTTTCAGGAAAGGAGAACTTAGTTCAATTCAGTTATGAAGGATGGCTTTGAGACGATGGGTATACACCCAATGATCTGTTTTCCTTACACTTCCTGCTGCTGGTAGTGGGAACGGCTGAACAGAGGTTGGCAGTGGAACAATTGTTTAAAAGTGTGATAACCTTGAAAAGGGCTAAAATATTTAATTCACAGATGTCATATTTCAAGATTTTTTTGTGTGTGTGTGTGTGTATGTGTTTAATAATTAGCCCTATTTCTTTTACCAAAAAGTCCTCACTCTTTTCAATTTATATATATTCCACAACATGATGCTTATCCAATTGAACATTTCTTTCTGGCTGTTCAAGAAGAGGAAAATTCAAGAAAGTGTCTTTTCGTAAATGATTTCAAAATTTAAGAGCTTTAAGTATCAGTTTTAATACTGCTTATAGTGGTTCTTAAAATGTGTATATATATACATGCAGTATGCTGTATCTGCTTGTTCTGGCAGTAGTAGGCTCTTGATGGTAAGGGAGGTGTTATCCTGGAAAAATATTTCTATATTGCAGCCAAAAACAAGTACAAAGAAAATACAGGTAAGTAAGATAAGATTCTAAGTCAGAAATACCTAAGAGCACAGTTCCATAGTAGTAGCAAGATGGAGCTGGTGATTATATAGCATTAACTCAGCATTATGACTTGCTTTCAGCAGGAATTGCTGTTGTCTTAGGGAAGAAAATAATTTTCTACTCTGAGACCTGAAGTAATTTATTTTTTCCCATGCAGATGTGTTCGTAATCTCTCCTAATCATTAGAAACAAAGTGGTTTAGCACACCAGTAAGTTACAGAAACATAATGTGCATGCTGCAGAGAAACCACTTTAAAAACTGTGTTTCTGAGGTCTCGTTTCTCCGATTCTGAAGCAAATGAAAGCAACTCCTAAGGATTTGTTCTTCATTAAAAGAGGGTGATTATTCTCTCATCCACAATCTTTTGGATTATTTTTAATTTGGATGAGGGAATCCTTCATCAGTGGAGTATCAGAGTCTTTATTGTGTAAATGTCATTTTCCTCACTTCCCTGTGAAGCATGTGCCTCTCAATCCCTCATTAAATAACACCAGAATAGAAGCTTTTAACTCTCTTGTACTCAGTGCTGTTTCTCGCTGTTACAAGCAGCTGCTGGTATTCAAAGTGAATGCTTGTTAGTTTTGAAATGACAGTACTACTGTGGCCAATTACCCGAGACATCTTGATGCAGTAATCTTTGGAAAATAAACATGTATTTAAGACACGAGGGGAATCCTTTCCCTTCCTTCTCCCATGTTCTGAATATGACTGTAGCGAGGAACAGCTAGAGGATGAAAGCTCTTTAGCTGTGGAGGCCATAATTTGTAATAGGACGTTAATCTGATTTCTTAATGAAGGAAAAACAGAGTCTTTTTTTCTGTAGCATCCAAATGTAATGTTTTCTAATGCATCAGTGCTTTTCATGTACTCAACAGTATGCTCATCTGTCAGGCTCTCCAGCTGGTGGCAGTATTTTACAGCTTGACATTAATCAGTTAGTTACGTAGCGATTGCGCTTATTTAACATTTAGTAAACTGATAAAAAATCAAATCCCTCACCTTTCATTTTCTGACCACCAGAAAACAGTGAAGCAGTCTAGTGTGAAAAGAGCCCCAGTGCTGAAAAAAGCAGTGTAGAAAACTGTGGTTAGAACAGTTGTTTAGAACAACTCAACAAACAACGATATTTTCATTTTTTAAATCTGAGTTAAGACCATTAATTGAGAGTAAGAGGGGAAATGTCCATTCCAGTGCCAGCATACTTTCTGAGCCCTTTGTCATCAACTAATTAATTTCTTGGAAATTAC